ATTACAGGTGTGAGCCACCATGCCTGGCCCACTTTTGCATTTCTACAAGTACTTTTTGTACAATTATCATGCAGGTAATTTTTTTTTTTTCAACTAGACTCCTTGAGTGTCCTGTCCCCATAACTATTTGCTATTTGATTATTTTTTCAGGTCAATATTTCAAGCACCGCAAAATGTGTAGGAGAATATGAATCCAAGAAAGGACAAGAGAGACAAACAAGAATGTACAATTTTGCCTCCAACATAATGCTTTCAAGGTTAGCTGGCTGCTTTCTAAAATCTACCAAAATTCGCATTTTGGGAATTGCTATGTGACAAAGTTCTGCCGCTGTGGTATTGGGACCACTTGCTCATAGAGTTACAGTTTTTGCCTTCCAGGAATCCATCGTGGTAAGAAAGAGACTTGGGTTGGTTCATTTTTTTTTTTTTTTAAAGCTACAAGGAAGTCAAGTCCATGACCACACTTATGCTCACATTTACTGAAACAGGCCAGTCTCAGAACTAAACAATGAAAATGAAAATTAATCAGGGACTCCTCTGGGCCTCACATATGGCAGTTTTGGATCTGTTTTTCTTTTTTTTTACTATCATAATTGTTTTTCTTACTCTTTTTCTTTGGTTGAATATACCACTGTAAAAAAAAGGGAGGGTAGTGGTGGTGATGGAAATGAATAAACCCATGGAAACAGTGAGACATCTACAGAGACAAAATTAGGAAGGAAGGAAACAAAAGCAATTTCAGTATCTCTGTGCAAGACCTGCATACCTTTCCCTGCCAATACCCCTGGATCAGGCTTGTCTCACTAGGTAGCAGGTGTTTCCTTGACTCACACAGAAAACAAGTCCTGGTCCTCTTGTGCTATTAAGGCAAGTTGCATTTGGCGCATAAACACCATGCCCTGCTCCACCTTGCTATCCTTCCCAGAAGAGAGAAAAATGTCAAGTAGTTGGGAAATGAGTCCGAGAGGAGGCTTTGCGGCTTTTCTTAATTCATGGGGATTTAAAGTAAAAACTCGTTTTGACATTATAAAGTAGGGTTATGTCCCCTTTATTGAATTTTTGTGGAAAAGCCAAATAGAAAACAAGCAACCAGATAGAATATCGTGCCCCAGAACATCATTTACCTTGGTAGAATGGAACCACTTTAACACACAGTACCATTTCTTTTCACCCTAGTTAAGAAAGAGAATTAAGCATGACTCAAATCAGATTTTAAAAACTTGTCTGATGCCTCTCATTAAGGATTGAAAACTATGTAAGACTCTTGCTCCAGGAAACTGTGTTCTGACATTTTAATAGTATTGCCTTAGCAAGAGCAGAGAAAATCCATGAACTTAGATTCACAGAAAGTAAATCAAGAATCCATCCAAAATGGAGAGCCTCTTTCTGAGTGATGGGGTAGTTTTCATGTGAGATGTCAATGTAGCTTCTGTACTTGACATAAAAGTTCCCATTTAAAAAAATCTAAACTACTGCTCAATTTTTTTTAATCAAGCCGAGTTATCTAAAGTGCTTTTCAGAAGAGACTATCAGGAAAGGAATAGAAAGTAGTCATTATGACTAATCAGCTGTAGGAGTTGGGGTAACCAATATTGCAGGAGGGACTTCAGAGCCACGGGGACCTTTCGGATGACTCAAATTCCTTCAATTGTTTGCAGCAGTCCTCTTGGGCCACTCGAGGGGACACAATGAGTTAGCACGCACCAGAACAGACAGAATGCACTGCCAGCTGGTAGTTTACTCTCCTACAGGAAGGCAGCTTTTCTTACACACAATTCTTTGTTGTGCTAAAGAGAAATAAATATATAAAAGCCTAAAAGTAAGACTTCCATTCTTGATGTCTGGCAAAATTGTCAGTACAATGTGCCTTGAGGGTATATCCACTGTTCTTGCCTTGCGGGGTTGTTGTGGAAGAATAAGATCATACTATAATAACCGCCCCGTATACTTTGCAGTTTGTAAAGAACTTCCATGTGCATTTTCTCAGTTGAACTTCACAACATCAGTGAGAGGCAGGGAAGGCAGAAGTCATTGTCTTTCGAGATGGGGGTGGCCATGCTGCTGCTGCTTATGTGTGGCTTTTGCTTTAGGAAGACTGAATTGATTGCGTTGTATTTTCAAGTATTTTATATTGTACAAGGATGTTTATTGAAGCAGTATTTATAACAAGGAAAAACTGGAACCTACTCGAATGTTTATTAATAGAGGACTGATTAAACTATGGTACAGGCCTAGATAGAATACTATGTGGACCCCATTAAGAATTATGATTTAGAGATATTGGAAATAAATTCATTGATGTCAGAGTGTATTTATTAATAAAGGAAATTAATCATAATATATTTAAGCTAGTAAACAATAGTGGATGCATTATGATCTTTTTGGGGTAAGAAAAAATGCATGGGGTAAAATAGTGTGTGCTGAGAATATATTTGACAGTTGTTTCCTTTTTCATGCTCATCTAGTACTTCTAATTTCAGTGTCAATAAACATGGAAAACGAACTATTGGGCATTTTCAACCAGATTAACTTTCATAATAATAATGAATAGAAAGGGTGCAGCTCTACCTCTGGGCCTCCAGGGGAAAGTGATCCCTTCGTGGGCCTGGCAGAGACCCACGTTCACCCAGATGGCCCCTGAGGAGGTGAGTTAAGTTGTGGCTTGTGGTGCTGGGGGAAGCAGCAGGGAGCAAGCAAGGGGCACCTGACAGCGGGCACAGAGCGGGGCCATGATCACCCCCAGGGCCAAAGGGACAAGAGGAGGAAGCAGAGTCACCAAGCCCAGGGGACAGGGGTTGTAAGGGACCTCCACCCCTCGGCCCCCACGGGAGCTGCCATAGTGAAGCGTCTCAGCTGTTGGCATGCACCAGCGAGGTGGGGAAGACACAGCCTGGCCTCTTTCCTCCTGCCTTCTTATTTCTGCCAGTGCCTCCCATGGGTCAAGCCTCTGCGGGCAAGGGGGTATGAATGAGCAGGCCAGGGAGGCCAGCATCTGGGTGGCACAGCGCGGGTCCAACAGGGCTATGCAGCAGGCACGTGAGCCAGCCCTCAAGAGGAAGGGCTGTCTCTTAGTCACGAACCCGAAACACAACGAAGGAGACTGTTGGGGTAATGTGGGCTGAATAATTTGATTTTTCTGCCTGTGCTCAGAGCTTCCAAAGCATGGAGATGGGATCACAGATCACCTAACCCCAACTGAGCACAGAATTTATTTGTAGGATTTTATACAGAGATAAAATTGTACACCTTTGGACCCCAATAATATCATCCCTGCTGCTTGGTGGGAAGAGGGGATTGCCAGACAAAGGAAGACCCTGTTATCTCAGATCTGCCTCGTGCTTCCTGCTGTCCCATCTCTGTTCCATGCCCTCTCCTACTTCAAAGTCCTGGCTATGGGCCCCAGATGATGGTGTCACAAGAGTGATAATGGTTGTGCACATCTAATGAGCACTTATGGGGGGTGGGGGGCAGGCATGGCTTGCTCTAAGCACTCAACATGATTAACTCATATAATTCTCACAACAGCCCTATAAAGAAAGGGACATTGTTCACCACTCTGCTGAGTGGCTAAGAGACTCAGTTTTCTGATCTGCAAAATGGAGGCAAGAGTAGTGTCTATCTCATGGGATGGTTGTGAAGAGTAAACAGATAAATATGAGTAAAGTCTTCTGGGGTGGGCATGGCACATAGCAAGCAGTCAATAAATGTTCCTTATTATTGTTCCCACATAAGGAAACTGATGCACAGAGATGTTAAGATACTTTCTTCAGCTCACAGAGTTGATAAGCAGCATAGCTGGGACTCTAACCAGGAACTGGGTTCCTAGACATAGTCTCTGAACCACTGTCCAGTGTTGCACAAAAAAGCCCTCCCCCTGCCCCCACTGTTCCCTTCCTGCTACTTTCAAGCAGGGGGTGGGATTGCCCTCTCTACCTGCCCACAATGCAAAACGGGTCCCTCACATTTTGGAACACCCTCCCCACTGCCCCCATGACGGTCTGCGGAAATCCCGTCTGTTCTTCAAACCTCACTTCCTCCAGGGTCACTGCCTGCCCTCTCCAGGCAGTGGTCAGCGGCAGGCAGGGGCAGGTGTGCAGCTGCTTCTGTCTCATGTTCCTTGAGATCAGACAGAATGGAGACCGGAGTTGTGAGACTTTCAGGGCCCAGGTGGCCAGGCGGGTCCTTAGATTGCACAGTTGAGCTCCGTGGAGGAGCATGGCAGGGGCGCCACCTGCTCGGGCCAAAGAGGGGAGTGGGGCAGACTCAAGCATGTTGCCATCATTATTTAACCTAGCCGAGGTAGGGTCAGGAACAGCCACTTGGGCAAGATAATGAGGAAAAGTCAGCACAAACCGTCAAAGTAACTGACAGAGCTCAGAAGAGAACTCAAGAATTCTTTAAGCCTGGGCCACAGCACGATCCCTTGTGCTTTTTATTTTATTTCTGGGAAACTAGCTTACCTGCATCTCTTTCTTGGCTTCCTCTTAGCCAGGGGCTTTCTAACAAGATTTTTGTCAGTCTCATCTTTCATTTTAGAGTGAAATATGATCAATTACCAACTACAACAGAACACGCTGAAAGCTATGTCACCAGTGAGTGAAAGGCCCCAATGTAATGTCCACGGCTTGTGGAAAACACAACAATTAAATGGCCGTTCAGCCAATCTTTTCTTCTTTCATTCCTTCTTTTTCCCTTTGGCCTGGTATTCAATGTACATTGAAATAACATGAATGCAACAAGATGGCCTCGATTTCACAGGAGCCCGGTAACCAAAGTCAAGAGATTGCCTAGTGTTCATAAAAAACAGAAACTCCTCCAAAAACACCACGCACAAGTGAAAGTGTATAATCTAAGTTTGTACCATGTCAGTCGGTGCTTCATTTTCTCATTTTACTCATCATCATAAAGTTGCTTTCAGGGAAGGAGTCATTTAGTCAATGACAGCAGTTCTTTATGGGAACAGAGCTGGGCCACTGCTGAGAGTGCCCTGGTGGCACCTGGCATCCAGTCTGGGAAGAGCAGGAGGCAATGCAGAAGTGGTTCTGGACTCAGTTTCCTCATCTGTTAAATGGAGAGCTTGGTTTAGCCTTAGACAATTTCTAAAGTTCCTTCCAATTTAAAAAAGATGTGTGGTTTACTTAGTAGTTCTAGACCTGAGCTGTGTTCTGAGTCTTTAATTAATCAAGAAAATGCTCTTAGCTTTGAACCAAATGTGATGCCATTAAGGGGTGAGTAGCAGAGATGGGAGGGTAGGTGGATGCTGGACTTCACTGGCCCAGAGGAGGATTTTTCTGGTGATTATAAAATGTGCCCTT